ATATATATATATATATACATGGAATTGCTTGTTTACAGAACTGCCGGAAAAATCAATCATGTTACCACCATTCGTGGACAGTACTCATTGCCTGTCGTACCACCTGACGAGAAAAGGCAGGTGCGTTGCAGACAGGGTTGTATCTGTGCTGGGATATGCTTGTCCCGATATTACCTACAGTCCTTCTCTTTATCCCATCACAGCTCTTCTTCTTCATTTTATGCCAGGTAAGTGTATTATAAATAAAATGAATATTCATTCTTCAGGGTTCGCGATATAAGATATAAGATAAAAGAAGGATAGAATTTTTCAATAAGATTTTTCTTCCATTTGTTCCACTAGCACAATAGAAATTCACATTGCGTGTAAATCGAATTTCTTGTCTGTTCGCATAAATTAAGATGTTAGGCATGCGGTTGGATAGAATCCCAGTTTTATTAATAGTTTGAAATCAGAAATGTTCACGAGATTACCGTTTCCATCTGTTGCAGAGGAGGAGTGTTATCATTGCATGGCCAGTTTGGTTGCCGCTAAGGATAAGATGTTCATCACACAAACGAAGCTCCTTTACGAAGTTACCTGGAAAACTGTGGAACAAATTACGAAGAAGCATGTGGTACATAATGTTGAATTCGTATTGTTCAAAATGAATCACGTTTTGATCATTCTAGTCTGTTTGGCATAAAATGATCTACATTTTACTCACAGATAATGTTTACCAAGAAATTGTAGCTATCTTTAACTTCCCTTTTAAAATGGTGTTTTGATGATGTTGTTGTAAATGCAAAAAATGTCTGTAAATGCAAATTATTTTTAAATTAAACAGGCTAGAACGGAATTTGTATAGATGTTTCTTAATGCTCGGAAGTGAATCATGAATTTTCTAATGATTAGTAATCTGAATATAAAAGAACCAATTATAAAAAGCTCTAAGACTAATTAAGAAACATATGTGAATATGTGAATATACAACGTGTAGTAATATGTAACATGAATTTAAATCATACATAAAATTATATGTTAAATATAAAAAAAAATGCAAAAATCTTGTAGAATAAGTTTAAATTCAATAACTCTGCGCATTCCTTATGGAAGAATATATAGAATTATAATTTTTCATTCAAGAAATCGGCAGCGGTACATTTAGCGAGGCATTGTTCTGGATCAAGAGCAGAGAGAATTTATATGGATTGGATGTGGTGGATTCTACAACTTCTTCCTTTCCAACATCTAGTCAGAGTTATGGATTGTTTTCTTCATGAAGGCATAAAGGTATTTACAAAATTCGAGTGAGATCAACTTGAAACATTTACATTTTCTTTTATCGCATCTTTTCACGACATGTTAAAAAAATATTATTGGCATTGATTCAAAACAAGGAAAAAGTTAATAATATATGTAATATGGAATACTCTTCCAGGAATAGTATGAATGATAAATGCAAATTGTTGACTGTATGCTAGTGAAAAATTAGATGCGTGCGTTTTTACACGTTGATTCTTTTTAATGTATGATATATAAAATTAATACATATTTATAAATTATAAGTGCAGTTTATTTTTCATGTTAACTTTGTATTTATTTTAGGTATTTTATCGAGTAGCAATGGCAATAGTTTTATTATTCTATAAACATTCATCGTTGCAAAATTCTGAATGGATGAACGAAATTTCGAAGAATGGAATTGATGCTGCACTTTCAAAATTTTGCAGGCAAATACCGGTAAGTATAAGTATATAAAACCTTTTATATAGGTTTAATATATCAATGCATTATCAGAATCATTCAAAAAATTAAATTAATTATAGCTCTTTTGATATTTTTATATAATAAATATAAAATGAGTATGTATGTATGAGTATAGTATGTTTTGTAAATTTATAGGTAACGTCGGCTAAATTTTTACGTACCGCATTTGGAATACGTGGACTTAGTTCAGCATACATATCAAGAGTATTTTTGCGCACAGAAATGGCTCTAAAAAGTAAAAGTGTTTTAACGGGATCCAGATCATTGGCAAGATCACGATCCACAGATAATCTGCCGACGAGCCAATCTCAAGTCAACATTCA